GTGAGTCACATCAAGGGTTTGCGAGTGAAGGAGATTTTCGTGTTGGTTAAGTTGTGCTGATGCAGGAGTATCATGCGTGCCTCTAATTTAGACCAGGGGAAGCAGTGTCTGCCTCACCCACAGGTGCAATGAGGACAACTCTTGAGATACGATCGTCAGGTGTTTCCACTAGGGGCTGCACTGGTCCGAGCGCATTTCCCAGTGCAGGCACGCTCAGCACCTCCTCACCTGGAGCCCTGTGTGCGGGAGGAGTTTGCTACGAGAGCAATAATGAGTCTAATATCGAAGCCTCCCTCGGATATTAGCATGAACACCTAAGATGTGTGTGTCATAAAAGCACTGCATCAGCTCTGCTTCCAGAACATTCCAGGTAGAAACCCCTCAAGGTCCGTTGGTGTAGCAGCTGTGCCAGCGATGGCTGCAGCCGTGCCGAGTTAAGGGCACTGCCCAGGTGCAGACGCTCAGCCCCTGATGGGCGGCGGGGCCGGGTAGTGCTCGTGCACTTGCATTGTTTCTGCCTCAGGCTGGGGGTGACCACTCTGGAAGATCAGCTCCCGAGTTCTTCCAAACCTGATCAAAAAAAGCCGCAGGAAGGAGAAACTCTGTAGCCCTCGGCAAACAGCCACGTGCTTCTTCATAGCCCCACAAAAATGGGTTTTGGAGGGAAAAGGTATGAGCTTGATATCAAAGAACGTACAAATGGTAAGTGCATTGCTGAGGTCTATTTGCTTACTGCTCCCCGGGGTTGTTTGCTTGTAGGAGGTGCTCTCAGCTTTTATCCTGCTGGCTTTTTTGGTTTGGTTCGGTGGATGTTCACATATTGGGGTAGCTCTGATATGTCTGTAGTTCAATGTATCCTTCACGTGTGCAGCAAATTGGGTCTGTGTCTTCCCTAGCCTTTTGAGGTTTTATGCTTCACAAAGCACTGCAGGGCTTCATCACTACCTTGGTTGAAGATTTGCAAGCAGACATACTAAGTTTAGCCCTAAGACTCCCACCTTTCCAGGTAAAGGGATGTCATGCTTCGCAGCGGGATGTTAAGTGTTTTATCAGGTGGATCGGCAAGGAGCCAGCTGGGCTTCACTTCGTCCCTGGAAATCACTTGTGGAGTGGGAGAGCGACTGGCCACCATGGCTGTTGTTTGGTATGCCCAGTTGGTTGAAAAACAGAATGTGTGTTTCACAGGAGAGCTCTGAGAAAGGAGAGGAGCGAGGTGTCAGGTTTTGCCCTCTGTGTCGTTACATAAGGGCGTCAGGGGCTCCTGTGTGCCTCTCTGTTACGAGTATCTCGTTGCCAGCATCCCCAGCCTCGTTCTTCACCGAACTGGTGGCAGCAGAACCTTGTCGGTCGGTTGCTTGGCCATCAAGGGTCCCTGGAGCACACGGGTCTGTGCTTTAAGCTGCGGGGCTACTAGGGTGGGAGAGAGTGACCCTCTGGGGTGAAGGGGATGGTACCAGCGGCCCGGCTCGGGGGGCGCGGGCGGGAGAGGGATTAGCGCAGTCACCGCCAGGGATGGAGCGCAGCCCCGCGGGGCCGCAGCCGGCTCTCGGGGCTCCCCGAGCGGCGGGGCGGCGCCGTCCGGCCGCCCGCGCTGCCCGTTGTGCCCGCGGGAGGGCCGGGGGGGTCCCGCCTCGCCGCCCGGCCCCTTTGCATTGCGCATGGGCCCTCCCCGCCGGGTGGCCATGTTGCAGTGCTAGCAGGCGGCGCAGAGCGGCGGGCCGGCAGCGCAGGGCGCAGCGCTCAGCACCGCACCGCGATGGCCGTGGCCGTGGGCAGACCGGCGGTGCGCGGGGCTGGGGGCGGGCCGGGCGGGGGGCCGGGGGCTGCGGGGGCGCGCTGCCGGCGGCGCGGAGCCGGGGGCTGCGGGGGTGCGGTGCCCGTGGCGGGTTGCGGGGGCGCGATGCCGGGGGGCGCGGTGGGCTCGCCGGGGCGCCGCCGCCTCTGCCCCTTCCCGGGGCCGGAGGAGCCCGCGCAAAACTTTTTGTCTCCGTTTCGGGCCCGCGGCTCGTGACTGCGGCGGGGCCGGGCCGGCGGCGGGCAGCTCGTCCCGGAGCCCCGCGCTCCGAGCCGCGCGGGGAGGCGGCGGGGGTGGTCCCCGGGCTGCGCCCGCCGGGACCGAGCTGTGCGGCGGTGCTGTGCCGCGGGTGTTTCTGCCCCGCCGCTTCCCGCGGATGGGAAGAGCTGGGAGCGGGCAGGGCAGTGCCCCGTGCGGGATGGGCAGCCAGGCGGGCGGGACGTGCCTGCATCCCTTGGGGAGAGGCGCTGGGCTGCGGCGGGAGAGGCACGGCAGTCCCGGAGTGGAAGTCTTCCGAGAGGCACGCGTGTCTTGCGTTTTCCAGCGTGACCGTTTTTCTCGGGATGTGGTGGCCGGGAGTCTTTTTTTTTTTTTTACGTGCATGTTGAGAAGGACAAAAGATTTCCCCTTTACGGAGAGAAAGAAAAAAAAAAAAAAGCCTAAACCCACAAAAACTACCAGATGCTGCTCCCGAAAAAAAAAAAAAAAGCGAGTATCTCTTGCATCCAGCTTGAAGAAACGTGAATGAAACTCCACCGTGACCAAACTGAATGCACTTTTGTGCATCGTCGGCCGCGGGAGGGAGAGACTTGACCGACTTCCCAACAACTTTTTCAGTGCTTGCGAGTAACCCAGATGTTGCCCATGAGCCGAGGACTTGAATGTGGCTCCTTCTCATAATAAGAGAATGGTCTGCGTTCAAGATGTGACCAGAATGAGACAGTTTCTTTTGGCGTTTATTATGTGCTTGTGGATCTGCGGGGCTGTAATGTTCCTCTGATGTGGCAAAGCAAAGTATGGAGATGGGGTTTAATGGTGTTACTGGAGGTGGGGAAGTTATGCTGCTAAGCAAAATAAGAGCTGATGTTTGTTAACAGAATACCTATAAATTATATCAGCTATTTGTAAAGCATCTTCTGAAATGATTCCTTGATCTTAAGGTCTGAAGCATGCTTGGAAATTGAAGTTTGTCAGTGTCAGAAGATGCATTGAAATCATGGCTTCAGCTGGTTTTTAGGGCAGGCTGAAGGGTATTGACAAGCCTTTTCGCTTTGTGTGGAGCAGCAACCTCACAGCATTAATAGGCTGAGGAACGTGGCTTACTGCAAGATGTGATTGCTGTTTGTTCCTGAGTATGTGTTTTGCTTTAGTTTTTTGTCATTGTGTTAAACTCGTGCTGTCACTCAGCCTCTCGTGTTTCTGGTTAATCCAAGTCCATGAACAATCCCAAAGCAGCACCCACAGAGGGTTTTGCAGTAGTTAAACCAAATCCCTGCGTGTGTGTGTGTGTGTGCTGCTGGGTCCAGTGCAGTGGGGCTGGCTGCAGGATAAAGCATCCTTCAGCATGAGAAGCATGTGCGTGTGGGAGAGGGAAGGACGAGGGCACTCGGCTTCCTTTGCAAGCAGCTGGTGGGCAGACCCTTCACCCTCCCGTGTTGCTGCTTTTTGAAGAAGAGTTGTTTTATCTTGAGGTGATAAGAGAAGAAAGAACAGTGGGCTGACACTCGGGAGGCATTGGGGGTGTTTTGTCTTGCGTATCATCTTATCTAATCCTGTCTGCTCCCACTTTGCCTGCTGCTGTTGTGTTGCTGGGAGGGTGGCAGGGAGTTGGAAGAAATAGTTAATTATATGTTAGAGCAAGGCAAGACTGGTGAAGATTTGCTTTGCAACTTTCTTACAGAATGTGATTAAGTGGAGCCTTGAGTGGTATGCGTCTGGTTGGAGGGAGAATTAAAGGAAGGGGGAAAGGAAAGGAATGAAACCAAAAGCGAGTCAGTTTGACTTAAAACGATGATAACATTCCTGAGTCACAACCTTTTACGTCCTGGCAGGATATGACATTATGTTAATTGTAAAAGCATGCATAAAGAATAACTTCAGCAAACTGCTCTGAAGTGTCTGTGTTTAATTGTAGCCGAGCAGGGCGTGTTTTGGTAGGATGGGCGGCTTTCATTTTTAGGCCCTGATCCCACAGATGTGAGGGCACATGTGTAATGCGCTGCCTGTAATTTCATTTGCCTTAATGGAGCCTGCTCTGGGTATGTAAATGTAAAGGCATGCATAAGCAAAGCTTTGGCAGGATTGGTGCTGGGAGCTGCCCTGGGAGCTCTCAGCTGATGAAAGCCGAGCATGTGCTTAAACATGCACCGGGCTGGAAGGATGCACATGGTCATCTGGGCTCAGGGTGAGATAAACCACTTGCAGTCTGGAAACGGTTGAGGTGTGCTAGATATGGGACCCCTTTCTTCCTCCTGGGTTGCTTCCCAGCATCTTGACCAGTGTGGGATGGGTTCTTAGTAGATCAGAGCGTGGAAGAGGGCTCTGGCCTGCCTACCCTTCTCTTTATGTGTTTATCCCAAATGTTTACAGAACCGGAGCTTGGTCTGTTACGGGAGCAAGACTCATGTTTACAGGGATGTACACCCTGCTCCAAGTCAAACAGAAATGGAGGGAAAGTGAAGCTGCAATGCAGATTTGACATGGGAACCATGGAGAACGTTATCTGAGAGATTAAAACAGTGCAGTGCACTCTCCCATCTGTTTTAAAAATACTTGATAATGAGAGACTGCTGGTTTCCATGGAGGGGAGGAAGGAGAGGGAGATGGGAAGGTAGAGCAAGAGATGAGCACAAAGAAAGGGGGTGCCCCCTTGTCTCTGTGAGTGTTTCTGTGCTCTCAGTAGCTGAGTATCTGGTCACAGTCAATGTGTTGTGGGCTTAGGTGGCCCTGCTGGGGCTGCTGATGTGGCCAGGGCACAGGTTTTGGCTTCCTTGCCTGCTTTCAGCTGCTGAGTGGGGCTTCTTGGGCCTGGCCTGGCTCAGCTGTCTGCACCAGGGACGCAGACCTGGGTGGTGCACAGAGGACTGTATTCTAGTGTGCGACCTCTTAGTTTCCTTTATTCACCTCAGCACCTTGTTTGCAGTAGGAAATTCTTTCAGACAATTCTTGTTGCTCCTGTTGATGTTAACAATGGTGGGAACTTGCCTCCTCCTTGCCTTTTTTCAGCACAGTCTTGGTTGTGGGGCAGGTTATGTGTCCAGCCCACCACATGCTCAGGGCCTCTAGCTTTTCCAGCACGAAAGGAGCTGACCAGGAGTCAGGGTCTGATGGAGATGCTTGGAAAGGCTTTACTTTGTGTAGATGAAATGATCAGGAATCAATTCTAGTGTCTGAGTAGGGCCCCTAAAATAATGATGGGGATTGATTAAGTAACCAGCATGAATCCGAGAAGTAAAATATTCACTCAGCGCTGGGGCATGTTTTGTATGTCCCCTTCCCACCCCTGCAGCCCCCAAGAGAGAGAGAAAGCTTGACTGGCTGGCTGCCAGTTCTCGAGTCACTTGAGGGTTGTTGGTTCTCTTTCTGTGGCTCTTCCTCCTGAGGTGATTCCTAGAGCATGGTCACGAGGCTGCTCAGTAGCTTGTGGCTTGCTTTGCAGGAGAGATGCCAGGGGGACAGGGTCTTCTGTTGGCTTGGCAAACGCTCCTGCCTTTCCCAGCCTCGTCCTTGGTGTGGTTTGGCTCTAGGCTTCGGTCCTGTCAAGCTACAGTGGCTCTTGCGGGGAAAGATCCAGGAGCAGCTTCAGCGTAGAACAGTTGGATGCAAGCAGGTGATTTAAAAATAAACAAAAAAGCCTCCCAATAGTATTTGAAGCTTTTTTTAGGTACGCTCTTGAGCTGCCTGTGCTTCCAGCCCTGTGAGCAGCTCTGCAGCCTACTGGAGTAAGTGATGCGGAATAATGGTTCAGACAAACACCACGGCGTGGGGAGAGCTCAGTGTTAATTCTGCTGGAGATGCTCCAGAGCAGAGCCACAAAACCAACTTCAGGGTCTTGCTCTCTTAGCTCAGAGCAGTGGTAACAAAAATTAACCCCAAATGTTGTTCATGATTACCACAATATAAGTGCTAGTTTGCATGCTGCTGTGTGATGGGAATAGGAGATGCTCCTTCTTCATCCCACCTGGATGCCTTTCCCCATCCTCTACATCGTGGTGCCTGGTTTAGACGTGTGGGCAGGACTTGCAAGAGTTGCCAGAGCTCTTCTTCTCCACAGCTCGGGCAGGTGTGATTAATGTGGCTTAGGCAAGGTCCACTTGGCCAGGCATGAGGCAGTGGAGAAAGAGCCATGAGAAGGGGGAGCAGCTCCCTGTGCTTTTCCTTTAGCCCTTCTGGAAGCTTTCTCCCTGTGGAGTGCTCTGCTTGTCCCACGTAAGCGATGCCTTCTTGGCATGAGCTGTAGTCCAAGGGCCATTATTGCCATTTCCCTGGTAGTACAGGTATTTTGCTGAGCTCTGATTTATAAGTCTTGAGCTATCTTTGGGACTCCTTACTTAAAAATACACCCTATGCCTGTGTTTAGGAGAGTGTCAAAGTAGCCTTAGGATCTGAATTTGCAGTTAGAGCTTTGAAGTTGCTCAAAATAGGAAGGAGATAAATCTTTTCTTGCAGGCTTAAGCTTTTTGTTTTCCATAGTAGCATCCCACATACGGTGTTGTCAAAGCACGGACTGCTACTGTTTTGGGGAGCTGGGGTTTTTTTCTTCCATCTCAGCTTATAGCTTCTTTAGATCTTTATTGTCTAATGATATTCTGTTGCCATTTCTGCATCCCACATTTATTTTCAGATGGGATTTAGCTGCTGGAATTATGTTCCTGAAGTACTGTAATTGTGGGTTATTTCTTTACCAGATCTGGTCATGAATACTTGGCACAAGTTAATAGAAAAAGACCTGTTTTAGAAACGTTTTGGTTTTGCCACAGTTGTTGCCT